TAAATAACATGAACCCAGCCTACACCACGTTCTAGTGGTCTTTTTTCTGTAGCAACGCATTTTTGTTGCCAGGGCCCGACAATAAGCGTTTTTGTGTCGAAAAATTTGCAGCTTCCCGACGTGCGATTACATAACTTTCTCTTCTTACGAAGTAACTTCGTAAAGGTGAGAAATTAAAAAAGAAGCAACACTGTCAATGATGTTCTACAAATAATGATGTTATCTCTGACATATTGCCGCCCATCGATGGAAGTGACGTAAGAGATGGGGACCGTAGGGGTGAGGGAACGCTGCGGGTTTTGGCAAGTGGTGTCGGTTGGAGGCGGTGGGAATGGTGATGGACGTAGATCATGAATAGGTGGCGATAGCAGTAGCGATAGCACCCCTGGCACTCTCAAAACTATCTTCATCCCTTGCACTACCACCTCGACTGAGTCTCATCCTCTAAACTCCCGTCACCCCAGCACCCCTGCTACCCGCAGCGTTCCATCACCCCTACGACCTTCATCTCTTACGTCACTTTCACAGTATCGGACGTAGACCATGTATAGGAGGCGGGTATTTGGCGAAAGACCAGGTGACCGTCGTAGTTGTCTCGGAGCATCAACTGTTGTCACCGCAGTGTCACTGACCAAGAGGCTCTATGATACCATTTCCGACGATGGCAGGATTTTCGAGACTAGCTTGATAGCTCTGCTGTCGCCTGGAGGAGAATTTTAGCGACAGGCTGTTTCATTCGTAGTTTTCTGTGTGTTTTCCGATCAGTAGCAGGCGAGTGTCAGAGTATTACCTTACCAATCAGGCCACTGACCGCGAGCAATCTTCCCTTCTTCTCCCTTATCCCTTATTCCTTTCTTACATACTTATACTTACAAGCACTACACTACCGCTCATATCGGGATTCCAATCAGAAGCTTACAGATTGGTTTGGCTGGAAAGGAAAGAGATTTTTCTGGCTGGAAAAGAATTCCAGAAGGTGGGAGACTTGGAAGTGGGGAGGTTTTCTGAGATAACCGTGGAGCAGGTGGTGGTGGGGGTGTAGGAAACATCTGCAGTGCCTGTGGGAGTGACAGAGGGCGTTGGGAGTGAATGGGATGGCGTGAGTTTCGTGGGCGCGGTGCGTGTCGGGAGCGACAGAAGTGGAGGTGGCAGTGGGTGCGGAGGGAGTGTGAGGCCGAGAGAGAGAGTTTCAATGGCTGCAGTGGGCGGTGAGAGTGTTACGGATGGTTTGAGTATTGGGAGCACAGCGGGCGTTTCGCGGATGTCAGGGGTGCTGGGGCGATGGGAGTGTAGAGGATGACTCTCAG